TAATATTGTCCAAAGAATAATGCTGTTCACCTATTCCACAAATATTTATTAAGTATGTAGTATACACAAAGCATTGTGCCATGATCTGTGAGGATCCAAAAAAATCAAATAGGGAAGATAATATGTATATAAATAACACAATCAAAAAGAGGAGTTAGGGAAGTGTCTAGAGTGGGCTATGAATATTTCATTCAGAATAACTGTAAACTAAAAACATTCTATTAAATTGTCCTTCACAAAAACTAGCTTTATTATACTATGTATAACACATATTCTTTTGATTGATTATTAATTTGGTATTTTTAGCAGCCTAGAAGGAATTGAAATTTCAAATATCCAGCAAAGGATGTTTAGACCTCTTATGAATCTCTCTCACATGTAAGTAGATGGGTTTTTTTGTTCTTCACCTTGATTTTAATCTTTATGTTTTCACACATATTGTGATAATACATCCATACCCAATGCATCTAATCAATAATATTTCCTACAAATTTGACTGCTATGGACTGAATTTTTGTGTTTCCCCAAAATTCATACATTGAAATCCTAACTGGAGTGGTATTAGGAGGTTAGGCCTTTGGGAGGTGATTAGGTGATGAGGGCAGAGACTTCATGAATGGGATTAGAGCCCTATGAATGAGACTTCAGAAACCTCCCTTATCCTTCCACCGTGTGAAGACATAACAAGATGATGACCATCTGCGTACCAGGAAGCAGGCCTTCCCCAGACACTGATTATTCTGGCACCTTGATCATGGACTTCCCAGCATCTGCAACTGTGAGAAATACGTGTTTATTGTTCAAGCCACTCAGTCCATGGTATTTCTGTTATAGCAGCCCAAACAGACTAAGACATGTCTAAACAATAATTAACTCTTAAAACGTTGATATTGGGTGGGGTGATTTTTGGATTTCCATAGTATGGTAAAATCTCAGAGGAGATTTCTCGAATATCAGGAAACATAAGTATGGGAAGAACCCATTCAGTCTGTTAGACGTTCTCCTCAGCTCTGGGTACTATCCACAGGTATAGATGTTTACCCAATGAGCTAGTAATTTGTATACATGGTACAAGTGCTATCTGACAAAGAGGCAGGAATTT